GACCAAATAAGATCCCTTAGACTGTGTTACTTTTGTCAAAATCAGTCTAATATTAGTCCTCCCTTGTCGCTCTGACTTCTGAGTACTTGCCATGAGCCAGGCCCTGTCCTAGGAACTGCAGAACAGAGTCATGAGTAAAAGAGGCCCTGGGGACTTTATGTTCTAGCACCAGAAGGCAGATGATGAGTAAAATAAATAAGTGAAATATAGGGTGTGTCAGGAGGTGGAAGTGCTTGGAGAGAAAGCAAAGAAGAGAAAGAGTATGGGAGTGCTGCAGCGGGGGCTGAGCACTTGACCAGTTAAATGCAGTGGGCAGGGAAGGACTGGCTTGAGGTAGGAACTGAGAAAGCAGCCAGTGTAAAGTCCTAGGGCAGGTGTGGGTCTGGCATGTTTGAAGACCTGCAAGGCAGCCAGTGTGGCTGTACGGGTGGAGAGTCGAGGAGCGGGTGCTGAGAGCTGGTGAGGCCTTACAGATCCTTGGACTGTGAGCACAGGAGTGATGTGATCTCACTTTCCTTTTTAAGGTTCGCTGTGTAGATAGTCGCTCAGTCATGAATGACTCTTTGCAACCCCATGGACATCTCCAGGCCAGAATACTGGAGTGGGTAGTCTATCCCTTCTCCAGCGGATCTTACCAACCCAGGACTCGAACTGGGGTCTCCTGCAATGCAGGTGGATTCTTTACCAACTGAACTGTCAGGGAAACTGGGAGAAATATCAACAACCCCAAATATGCAGATGAAACCACTCTTATGGCAGAAAGCAAAGAAGAACTAAAGAGCTTCTTGATGAAAGTAAAAGAGGAGAGTGAAGAAGCTGACTTAAAATTCAACATTCAGAAAACTAAGATCATGGCATCTGGTCCCATCACTTCATGGCAAATAGATGGGAAAACAATGAAACAGTGAGAGACTTTATTTTAGGGGGCTCCAAAATCACTGCAGATGGTGACTGCAGCCATGAAATTAAAAGATGCTTGCTCCTTGGAAGAAAAGCTATGACCAACCTAGACAGCATATTAAAAAGCAGAGACATTGCTGACAAAGGTCCGTCTAGTCAAAGCTATGGTTTTTCCAGTAGTCATGTATGGATGTGACAGTTGGACTATAAAGAAAGCTGAGTGCCGAAGAATTGATCCTTTTGAACTGTAATGTTGGAGAAGACTCTTGAGAGTCCCTTGGACAGCAAAGAGATCCAACCAGTCAATCCTAAAGGAAATCAGTCTTGAATATTCATTGGAAGGAATGATGCTGAAACTGAAACTCCAATACTTTGGCCACCTGATGAGAAGAACTGACTCATTGGAAAAGAACCGGATGCTGGGAAAGATTGAAGGCAGGAGGAGAAGGGGATGACAAAGGATGAGACGGTTGGATGGCATCACTGACTCAATGGACATGAGTTTGTGTAAATTCCGGTGATGGACAGGGAGGTCTGGCATGCTGTAGTCCATGGTGTCACAGAGTTGGACACAACTAAGTGACTGAATTTAACTGAACTGTGTAGACGGTAGGTTGTTCTTGGGCCACGGTGGAAGCTGGAGCCAGTATGCATACCATTGCCATAGGACATGGAAGATGACAGTCCATTTGGACTAGGGTGTGGAAATGGAGATGGAGAGAAGTGGCTGGATCCTGGATATTTTGTAGGTAGAGCTGAATATGGAATGTGCTGATGGGTTAGAAAGAGAAGAGTCAGGACCAGTCCTGGATTTTGGACTGAGCAGGTGGAAGGATGGAGAAGATTATGGGAGGAGCAGGTCGGGGGACAGGGGAAAACCAGGAATTCAGCTTTGAATGCAATAGGTGTGAGACAGGTGCATGTAAGATATCCAGGTGGAGCTGTGAGCAGGCAGTTGGATGCACTCTTCAGGATTTCATGCCAGGCCACAGGTGTTCTGTACATGTGACATCCAATGCTCATGACTGAATGGGATCATGAAATGGCAAGTGTTGACAGAGCAGAGCTGAGGTCCAAGGGCTCAGTCCTGGGAACTTCCAAGGCAAAGAGAAACTTTGTTCACATCTGTGTTCCTCAGTGCCTAAAACAGTGCCTTGGACATGGACCCTGGGACTCTAATAGAATACAGTGGTGGTGAAGCTGTGCCAGGTTTCAGGCTGGTGCCTTAAGAAACAGGCAGCTTCTGCCTCTCATCTCTTGTGACACTCATCCTGGGAACCCAGCCATTGTGCCATAAGGAAGCCAAGCGGTCACGTGGAGAGGCCACAAAGAGCTAACCCAGTTGACACCCCAGCTGAGGTTCCATCTGAGAGCCAGCGAAGACTGCCCTGCTGTGAGTGAGCAGACAGCCCCAGTCCCAGCCTGTGAGCCACTCCAATTGACAGGGCTTTGGAGTAGAGATGGGCCATCCCTATCAAGTGCTACCCAAATTGCAGATCTGTGAGCAAAATAAGTGATTATTGTAGTTTTAAGTCACTGGGTTTGGGGTGGTTTACTATATAGCAACAGGAAGCTGGGACTCCATGCCCACCTCCAGAGCTTGTGTGTTTGTGTGTGTTAGTTGCTCAGTCGTGTCTGACTGTTTGTGACACATGGACTATAGCCTGCCAGGCTCCTCTATCCATGGAGTTCTCCAGACAAGAAAATGAGTGGGTTGCCATGCCCTCCTTCAGGGGATCTTCCCTACCCAGGGATCAAACCTGGATCTCCTGCACTGCAGGCAGATTCTTTACCATCTGAGCCACCAGGGAAGGCCCTCCTGAGCCTATCCACCACCAAAGACCACTGAGTCTCCCTTCTAAATACCTCTGAAATCCATCATATTCTCTCATCTTCCCAGCTGCCCCATTCATCACCTGGACAACCATGTTTGCATCCAGATAGATCTCCTTCCATTCACTCTTAATCGAGCAGGGTCTGTTTCCTACACAGCAGCCATAGAACTTGCTAGAAAGTCCATCTGATTATCTCCCCAACTCCTGAAGTTGGCTCTCCTCTCTCCTAACATCAAGACTCACCATCCTTTCCCCTTTAGGCGTCAGCTGCAGTGGTCTTTATTCTCTTCCTCCAGTACCTCATGTTCCCTTTGCCCTAGAGCCTCTGCACATGCCGCTTCCACTTCCAGAGATACCCTTCTCCACCTGGCTCATTAACTCTCGCTCAAACATCACCTCTTCTGTGAACTGCCTCTGAGTTGGTAGTTCTCAAAATGAGAACTGGATGATCAGCTCATCCAGGAACTTGTTAGAAATGCCAGTTCTCAAGCCCAAGCCAGGTACTCGTTTGTTTGTGCTAAGTCACTTCAGTCCTGTCTGACTCTTTGCGACCCCATGGTCTGTAGCCCAGCAGGCTCCTCTGTCCATGGGATTCTCCACGCAAGAATGCTGGGGTGAGTTGCCATGCCCTCCTCCAGGAGATCTTCCTGACCCAGGGATCGAACTCACATCTCTTACATATCCTGCGTTGGCAGGCGGGTTCTTTACCACTAGCGCCACCTCAGAGGCAGAGTGCAGCGGTCAGTATTTGGCAAGCCTTGCAGGTGATTCTGACCCATGCTCTTGAGAAGGGCTGCTCTAGAGCCCCCAGTTCAGGTCATGGACTTGGTCTCCTCCCACCTGTGAATCCGTTTCCTTCAGAGGCTTGCGTTTGCTGCGACACAGGTCTTTGTGAGATGACCTGGTGTCGGCTCCCCTGATAGACCAGAGCACAGGGCCACTCATCTTCTGCTCCTCACTGCCTCCCAGCACCCAGCCCCCGACAGGCCTGGCAGCACCACCTGGAGCTTAGAGATGCAGGTTGAACAGATATTAACTGTCACCCATGGCTCTCCTGTGTGTGGCAGAGGGGAAGATACTAGTCTCTTACAGAGCCGGGCCAAGGGGAGTGTGAGAAACATTAAGAAACTTGGGGAGGTTTCAACCCCTGCAGAAAAGGCTGCTATTCAGAAGGCGGGGAAAGGATATCCAGCTTTCCCTCCCTCGCTTCCCCAGTCCCTCTTCCACCCTGGGGAGGCCCTCAGCTGACTGCTGTTGACCACTGAGCAGGCCTTGTTCTGTGGACTTGTTTTGTATCACTTAATACAGCAAGCTTCTGAGCTGTGTTTCATTAATATTCCAATTTTACAGAGAGGAAGACTAAGACTCAGTGAGGTTCAGGTACTTGGCTGAGGTGGGGGCAGGGAGGATGTGACTCCGGCTGTGGACAGGTGCACCCTGGGCAGGTGGAGAATGCTCAGGTGGACAGGAGGGGAGAGGCGTGAGTGCAGTGGGACACAGGGGCCATGCACATCCTCATTTGCTCTTCCAAAAGGCAGTCCTGACTGCAACAGGTTGGGAGAAGGAGGCCCCAGCGTTGCCAAACCTAAAATTTCAAAGTGTGGATTTCTAATATGCAAACTTCTTGTTTCTAAATAATCACATTGAAAAGAAAACCCACAGAGGCTTCCAGAGACTAGATACATGCCTGTGTCAAATGATATTGGTGGCAAAAATTGAGGGGGTGAATGACAGCACCACCATGCACGTATTGTCTCTGACCTGGCCCCGCCCTGCTCCCCTCCACCTTCTGCCGTGTCTGGGTCAATCCCCTTTAAATTCAGGGTCTACCCTTGGTGGGATGTGGTTTCACTAGGGGCAGACCCCTAATACTGACCCCGGCCATCCTGTCTTTGCCCCTAAATGACCAGTGTCATGTGAGCCGATGCTAGGTCTGCCTGGTCACAGCTGTGTCCCCAGGCCCCAGGCTGCATGCAGAAGGTGCTCACTAAATGCTTGCTGCTGAAACTAATAGTGTAGGCCCCTCCTCCTCGGAACACCCCACCCCCACCCACGCTGGCTCCTCCCAGTCGCCTGCCCTGGGTGAGCAGGGCGGGGCGATGGTGGGTTTAAGGCCGGGCAGCCGGAGGCCCCCTCGGCTGGCTGGGTGCCCGTGGAGCCCAGGCTGCAGAATGGCTGCTGCCCGCCCTGTAAGTCCACTCACCTGCCACCTTGGGCAGTGAGGGCCGGGGCTCACCGCCCAGCTTGACTCCTCTCCTTGGTCAGGCTGAGGAGGCTGAGGATGGAATCCAAAAGGAGGAGAAAGAGGAGAAGGCAGCCGCGGGGCCGTGCATGGGAGAGGAGGCTCTGAGTAAGGCCCCGGAGGAGGGCAGGCTGGACTTCCACCCGCTGCTCAGCAGGTAGGGCAGGCCCTACCCTTGGCTTTGACCTCCCTTCCTCATCTGGGCAAGGCCAGAGCTGCCCTAAGACTTGGGCCCTGCTGGTGCTTTCAGCCTCAATCCAGCTGAGATTCCGAGTTCAAGGCCCTCACTGGTCCCCCAGCCTCTCAGGATCACTGTCCCCATCACCTTGTGGGGTCGTTGCTACAAACCCTACCTCCCTATTGGCCCAGGAAGGAGCAGGACTTCAGGCCAACCTACTGCTGTGGAGGTGGGGTGGGGTGGGGCGCGCAGGTGGGTGCACTCTGCTTCCTCCTGCCCCCTCCCCCACCCCCAGGTGGGCTCTGTGGTTCTTCAAGAACGACCGCAGCCGAGCCTGGCAGAGCAACCTGCATCGGGTCACCAAGTTCAACACTGTGGAGGACTTCTGGGCGTGAGTGTCTGTCCCTCATGGAGGGGGCTGAGGTCAGGGGGCCTTGGCTGGGCATCTTTCCCAGACCCCACTCCTCCAGGGAGCTGCTGCCTACGCTGCTTTCCTAGCCCTTCCTGGGGTCTTGCAGCATTTCCTGGGGGCTGGGGCTTGGTGGGCTCTGCAGGGAAGTGACAGGGAGTTTGGGCTTGGTCACAGCCCCTGCTCCCAAGCCTTGCTGGGACTCAGGGAGAAAGCCTGGGAAGTGGGAGAAGTGAGGAGTGGACTGTGACTCTGCTGCTCTGTGCCTTGTGACCCTAGGCAAGTTCCTTCCCCCTCTGAGCTTGTCTCAGCTACTGAGTGAGTTTCAAGCTGTTTCAGTGTCTGTGGTGATCCCGTGAGGGGGTCTGCAAGGTGCTTCACAAACCCTAGGGGTGGGTAGAAGGTGGGATTTGAGGGTCTGGGTAGATGGGGATGGAATTTTTCAGCAGGGGGCCCCAGTATGAGCTAAGGCTTGGAGGCTGCAAGGTGAGTGGAAAGCAGTGGGGTAAGAAGTTGAGGGATCTGAGGCCAGTTGAAACCAGGCCCTAAAAAGCTTGGACTTTCAGCCTGGGGTGCGGGTCTCTCTCCAGGATATATAATAATATCCAGCTGGCCAGTAAGCTCTCTTCTGGCTGTGACTACGCCCTGTTCAAGGTAAGCTCGGCTTCCCCCACTCCCCGGGACACAGTGGGGCTGATTTCTTCCAAGCTCCCTCCCTCACAGGAGGTTTGACAGTGGGGTTAGTACCAAGGACAGCCTTCCTTGGAGCCAAGTATAACTTCCGGTTGGAGGCCTGCTGTACAAAAGCTGGGGCAGAGTGTCAGACCTGAGCCCCATCCTGAAGATCAGGGGAGGGGGGAACAAGGGGGAGCAACGAAGGGCTCTAGGTTTCTGGCCTGGCTCTTTAACTTGGGAACACATCAGGAGTGCCTGAGGACACTAGTCAATGTCCAGGCTTGTCCTTGGAGGGGCTGGGCAGTGGGGCCCTGACGTCCATGTTTGCAGATTTCCCTAAGTGACTTGCACCCAGCGAGCCTGGGATGTCTGTCCCTGGCCACACTGGGGTTGCCCCAGATGCTTCCTTTAATCACCCCCATCTGATCTCTCATCTCAATGATCTTGGCTCAGCAAAGGAGACACACATCTATGTAGGGCTACGTGAGGTGACCTATATTGAGGCTTAGGGCCCATGGGAGCTCACAGGAGGGTCTGCAGGGCTGACCCTGCTTGTACTGAAGGGTGAAGACAGAAGATCTAGTCTGTGGAGGGGCTGGAGCAGGACCTGGGGAGGTGGCCAGGCACTCACTTCCCTTCGAACAAAGGGAGGTGGCTGATTCGCATACCTGCTTTCCAGGATGGCATTAAGCCCATGTGGGAAGACAGTAGGAATAAGCGGGGTGGCCGCTGGCTCGTCAGCCTCACCAGGCAGCGGCGTCACCCTGAGCTGGACCACCTGTGGCTGGAGACAGTGAGTGGGGGGCTGGGAGGGAGGCTGGATGGGCAGGGTTCCCAAGGGAAGAGGCTGGGCTGGTGTGGTGGCAGTGGTCTCAAGGATGGTGGGGGCAGCTTCTGTGCCCACCAGGAGGCCTCATCCTTCTCCTTTTCGGGTCCAGCTGCTGTGTCTCATCGGGGAGAGCTTTGGGGAGCACAGCCGGGAAGTGTGTGGGGCCGTCATCAACATCCGCGCCAAGGGGGACAAGATTGCTGTGTGGACACGGGAGGCAGAGAACCAGGAGGGCGTGCTGCACATTGGGTGAGGGGTATCTCTGGCACAGCGTGGGGGCTGGGCCTCTTCTAGCAGAGAAGGTGGACGGGGAAGGGCTTGGCCTGCAAGGGAGACCTCCAGAATACTCCATGCTGTCTCTCCCTTCTTTCTTCCGCAACTTGTGCAAAGGGCGTGGAGTCTAAATTTCCAACTGTTTCTTGCAGACCTCTTTTCTTTTGCATTAGTCACATTTCGGGTTTCCACATGGGTAAGACGCACACAACAGGAGTTACTGTGGCTGGAACCAGGGTAGGGGCTCTGGGCATAGGACCCATGGTCCCAGGTTAACTGCAGGACCCGCTGCTGACTGCCTGTCTCCTTTCCTCTCCCACTTACCTCCCAGGCGTGTCTACAAAGAGCGCCTGGGCCTCTCCACAAAGACCATCATTGGGTACCAGGCCCACGCAGACACAGCCACCAAGAGCAACTCCTTAGTCAAGAACAAATTTGTGGTCTGAGCCTCCCATTGCTGTGTGTATTTATTTCTCAAGAGGGCTGGGCTGGGCTGAGGGCAGATGCCATGTTTCTCCCCTATCCTGGGGCTCAGGCCTCGGGGTGAGAAGCCAACTTAAGGGCCTAGGGCAGTGGAAAGGTGGAGAAAACCCTGGGCTTTTTTAACCCTGGGGGGCTGGGTTGTGTAGTATGGTGAGGTGAGTCATCGGTAGAGGAGGTGGGACAGCAAGCAGGAAGAGAACAGGAGAGAATCCTAGGATTCAGGACTAACTCCATGCCCCCCACCTTGGGGAAAGAAGTTAGGTGTTCTGAAGGCCAGTCTCTTCCATTTGGGGGAGGGGGGTTCAAGGCCACTGACAGAGCTGGAGCTCAGGGACCGGAGTGGCGGCTCTGAGTGATCACTCTGCTTTAAAAACTTTTATGGGTTGCCTCTCATCAGATTTGTTAGCCTTGGAGTCTATGCTTTATCCCATACCTTCTCTCAGCCAGCTGTGTGTGGGTCCCTAGAGTAGGGGCTAGGGTTGATGAGGGCCTGGCCCAGGAGAGGTGATTAGGCCTTACTGTGGCTCTGCCAGAGGTGAATTAACCGGAAGGTGAAGTTTAAGCCCCTTTCTGTTCCTCTTATAAATAAATACTTTAAACAAGACTGGGATTTTTGAAAAACCTTTTTTTAAAGTAATTTCATTTATTTTGGCTGTGCTGGATCCTTGTTGCTGCGTGGGTTTTTCTCTAGTTGTAGAGAGCGGGGGCTACTCTCTGGTTGCGGGGCACAGGCTTCTCACTGTGGTGGCTTCCTTGTGGAGTATGGGCTCCAGGGCGCGCCAACCTCAGGGTTGCAGCTCTGGGGCTCTAGAGCACAGGCTCAATAGTTGTGGTGCATGAACTTAGTTGCTCCGTGGTATGTAGGATCTTCCCAGATCAGGGCTCGAACCTGGGTCTCCTGCATTGGCAGGAGGATTCTTTATCACTGAGCCAGCAGAGAAGCCCAAAATTGTAATTATTTTTAAAGAGGACTCTAAAATTCTCCCCCCTAAACTTTGGTTTGCTCCAGTCCTGCCTTGAGAGGGCTCATGTGAGACCCCTTAGGTAGCAAGGAGCCCGATCAAGGTAGACGCTGGTATGGGGAAGAGGGGTTAGACGGTGCGGGGCGGTGCTTCAACCACCAAAGCGGTTTGAACTGGGGGCTGCGATATATGCCCCCCGGCAAAACTGAAGGGGCAGGGAGCAGCAGGCGCAGCCCTCACAAGACCCAGGTGTCATCCCGTCTGAGTTTGAACCAGTAGAGACAGAACTGAATTTCCGAGTGAGAAGCACTTCTGATTCGACTCCGCTGTAATAAAACGTCCTGCACGTGTGCTAAAAAAAACACCATCCATATAACTTTTCTTTTCGCTCACCAACGCGGTCGTTACTACTCTTCAGGGATGGGCACTGACCGCAAGGCCGGGGATTGGGGTGGCGCTGGTACTGATCCTTGTGGTGTCGGGGAACTCGGGGTCTTTCGTGCCTGCGACTTGCGGAGCTTTCAGCAAGCATCTGAGGTGGGCTTGAAGGACGCCGCAGCAGTCAGCGTAAGGGGCGGAGTCAGGCCTAGAGGCGGGGCTCCGAGGGTGCTAAGTCGAGCTGTGGGGAGGGGCCTGAACTTGGGGTGGCGTGCCTGTGTGGGGGCGGGGCCCGAAGGGGAACGGGGGGGCGGAGCCAGACCCAGAGGCAGGGCTCCAAAGGGGACTGAGGGGGGCTAGGGGCGGAGCCTAGGGCGGGGCGGAATCAGGCTAAAGGAGGGGCTCTGAGTGGACCGAGCCGGGGCTGTTCGGGCGCCGGGGGCGGTCCCTGCGGGGCGGGCGGGGCCCGACGGGCTCTCTGTGTGGCCGCGGCCATGAAGCCGCAGCCGCCGGGCTAGGCCCCGGGCGGCTCTAGCCCAGGGCTGCCCGCGGAGGGCTGGGCCCAGCCTCCGGGCCCGGTTGCCGGGCCGGCGTGCGGCCACTCACCATGCCCGGCAAGCACCAGCACTTCCAGGAACCCGAGGTCGGCTGCTGCGGGAAATACTTCCTGTTTGGCTTCAACATCGTCTTCTGGGTGAGAGCGGGGTGGGTTCTGGGCCCTGTGCTGGGGGTGGCGGAAGGAGGAGGCTCAGTCCCCTACTAGGGGGAGACACTCTTTGCCACAAGGCCTTGGGACCGTCCCCCAACTCCTTCCTCCCCTTCCCACCTCCCCGCCCAACCTCTGGAGCACCTGAGGGAATTAGAGGCCTGGATTGCAGGGGGCGGGTCCCAGCCACTGCGGTAGTAGGATGGGGAGGGGTAGTCTTCCGGGGTCTTTTCAGGGCTTAGCGGAGAAGTGGCAGGTGTTTTGGTGAAGACCCCGCGGCCCTGCTTGGTGCGGGTCGCCCCCCTCCCTCGCTTACCCTGAGGTGTAAGGGCTCCGCGGAGCCCCACCTCTGGTTTTGCCGGTAGGGAGGAAAGCCTCCGCGAAGGGCTGGATTCCCTCTCCAACCCTTTTACCGCTCCAGTACCTGGGCCTACCGCTTCGCCTTAAGCTCCTACAAAGAGGCGGGGGGGAGGGGCGGGAATAGGTCAAACTCCCATCCCCAAACTAAGAGGCTTGCAGGCAAGGAGGGCTAGTCGCCCTAGTTACCGGCCGAGGACAGGGGGATATTCCCTAATGAAAGGCCGGGAGAGCTTTGGGGAACAGAATTCAACATTCCACAGCTGAGGAAATCGAGGTGTCAGGGCCAGGCTGTCTGGAGAAGGGAACTGCTGGTGCCCCTCCCAGGGCGGAATCCGTACCCCTGGGGCTGCCAAGTCATCTTTCCCTTCTCCCTCCCCCATCCCATCTCTCCAAGGCTACTTGCTGACTCTTCAGTCTCTACTCCTGACGCCTTGGGTCAGAATGTCAGGCCTACTCAGTTTTGTTTAGCAGGAATCAGTGGCACTGCCCTCTGCCCACAAGCTGCTCAGGCAGTGTGGGTGTCCTTTGGCCCCTGCAGTGCCACAGCCTCGAGAGTGTGGGCCATGTGCCGGGGGCTCGTCTGGTGGGAAAGTCTGGGGCTCTGGTTGTCTCAGGCCTAGCTGTGAGACAGTGGGCAAGTCACTTCTCTCTAGGCCTCAGCTTCCCTGACAGGGAGTGGGGGATGATGAAGCCTGCTTCTCAGGGCTGTTAGGCAGATGACATGGATTATAACCTACTGTATTCTCACAGTTACTTTAATTATAATCTACATTTTATAGGTGAAGGAACAGGCACAGAGAGGTTAAGTCACTTAACCCAGAGTCACACAGCCAGTAAGTGCAGGGCCAAGGGGACAGCTCAGTGGGCAGTAGGTGGAGGTGAGGCAGAGCGCTGAGCAGAGGGGGCCGCCAAATGTCAGGGCGGGAGAGGCTTGAGAGACCCAGGCTTGTTCCAGGCTTCCCCAGGATGGGACTCCAAGTGTGAAAGGCCCCAGGGCTGGGGCAGAGTTTGAGGTTCACGTTGAGGGCAGTGGGGATGGATTTGTTTTAGCTTCTGTATTAGAGGCAGATCTGCCTGACTGCCACGGGCAAGGAGACCAGGGAGGCGGCCTAGGGCAAAGGAGGGGTGATGGCAGGTGGACAAGCTGAGGAAGGTTTCAGGGGAAGTTATCAGGCTGAATTGACAGGACTGGCCCAGAGCACCCTGTGGTGTCTGGCTTGATGTCTTCAGTTTGTCCCTTGCACCACCATCCATGATCTTACCTCTGGGCCTTTGTCAGTACTTTGGCCTGAAATTCAGTTCTTCTGCCTGGAATTCAGTACTTCCACCTAGAATTCAGTATTCCTGGAATTCTTTTCTCTTCAATGCCACTTTTCATCATTCAGGCCTCAGCTAAAATGTCACCGTGCTCCCTAACTGAAACATGCTCCCCCCCACCACCACCCTATCACTTCCCATCACATCACCCTTTTTTGATTTTGTTTAAAGGCTCTGTTGGTATCTGAAACTACCTTGTTTGCTCACTGTGGGTTTCCCCCACTGGAGTGTAAACTCCATGAAGGCTGAGGGCTCATGTGCCCTTTTCACTGATGTGTTTTCAGTGCATGAAATGGAGCCTGGGACGCGGAGGCTTTTGCAACAGGCAGGTTGACTAAAGGCTCTAGAGCCAGCGAGAGGTTTGGGTGGAGATTGGGAGATTGCCAGTGTCATGATGAGGTAAAAGATGAGTTTGAGAAGAAGGTAGGTGGGAGGTTGAGGTTGGAACCTGGTGGAGGAGGGGGTGGCCTTGTGCATGGCACCAGTGAAGCAGAGCCTTGTAGGAGAGAGGCTGAGAAGGGGCTGGAGGAGGAATGGCATTGCGTTAACCATGGGTAGGTTTGAAAAAGAGAAAGTACTAATCATTCACCTGTCTAAAGGCCATGGGCGGGTCAGATGGGATGAGGCAGGAGAAGTGAGGTTTGGTTTCACATCCCAGATCTAGTGTGGGGGAGGGAAAGAAAAATATTTCTACAAAAAGAGTACAGCAGTGAGAGGAGCCTGGGGTCAGAAAGGGGTGGGTGCTAAAGGTGGCTGGCCAGGGGGGGAGTTGACTGAGGCTATGCGCTGAGGCAGGGAGGGAGCCTGTAGAGAAAGCAGGTGGGAGATGGAGGTCTGAAGAGGTAGGGTCATGGCCTCGGGCTTGGGCAGGAGGGGCGCTCTCCCTCTGAGACTAGATGTCCTGCTCGGGTTCAGGCAGCTGCCCTGAATATCCAGGGCTCGTCCTAGCACAGAAATGAGGTGGGATGGTGGGTGGTGTTTAGAAGGCCTAGCCCAGGGCCCCTTTGCTGATCTAGCTCTTCACTGGGATTCCTGGTCGTTCAGGGGTCTTTGGCTGTGAGCTGCTAAGATGTACTCTGGCAGATGGAGGTTGGAAGGGTGGGATGGGAGTAGTGTGGCAGTCACTGAATTGCAGGGAAGCAGGAGGACCAGACTTGGGAGGATACTGGAGAGGATGCCAGGAGCTGGGAACCCTACCATAGGCCTGAGGTGAAGGAAGAGGCTCAGGAACCAGTCACTGCTGCTTGGTGGGACTGTTTGGCCCTCCTCTGCTCCAATTCTGAAGTTCCAAGAAGGGATCCCTTCTTAGGGCTGGGGAGGGTTCAGTGTTCCAAGCTGTGCCCTGTGGAAAGAAACACCGAGATGCAGTCTTAGAAAGATGGAAAAGACCATGGATCCCATTTATAGCCCTTCCCCGTGGCTTCCTGAAGAGCCTGAGCACCAGTGGGGAGGGGGCTCTGCTAGGGATGAAAAAGAATGCTGGTGCCGCAGCCCTCAGCTCTTTGCTGCCATTCTTGCAGGTGCTGGGGGCCCTGTTCCTGGCCATCGGTCTCTGGGCCTGGAGTGAGAAGGTAAGGCAGTGGGATATGGTGCAGGGCTGCTATGGGCTGAGATGGTGGGAGGGCCAGTCCCCCCCTACCTGCCTCTGCTCCCCCTGCACAGGGCGTTCTCTCCAACATCTCGGCACTGACAGATCTGGGAGGCCTTGACCCCGTGTGGCTGTTTGTGGTAGTTGGAGGCATCATGTCCGTGCTGGGCTTTGCCGGCTGCATTGGGGCCCTCCGGGAGAACACCTTCCTGCTCAAGTTTGTGAGTGCCCTCCCACCTAGATTCACTGGGGACCCCAACCTCCTCCCACCCACTTCTTACATATAGTTCATGCTTAATAATGGTAGTTTTATTATTGTGTAATTTTAACAGTGGTCACCAAATTTGTATTATTAATACATTTATAGGATCCTCTGTTGTAAGTGGGGCTTCCCTGGTGGTTCAGCGGTAAAGAAGCCCCAGGTTCAATCCCTGGGTTGGGAAGATCCCCTGGAGAAGGGCATGGCAACCCACTCCAGTATTTTTGCCTGGAGAATCCCATGGACAGAGGAGCCTGGCAGGCTGCAGTCCACGGGGTCGCAGAGTTGAACACGACTGAAGCGACTAAGCAGCAGCAGCAGCTGTTTTAAGTGACCGAAACCTAGTGGCCTGGGCCCTAAGCGAAAATGGCCGTTAAGGAACCCCAGGGATGTGTTAGCTCCCAGCGCCATTGGATCCAGGGGCCACCACAGTGTCACTTGGCCTAGCCTCTCTGTTTCTCAGCTCTGTGCCTCTGGGTTGGCTCCAGACCCCTTGGGGTGGAAAGATGTCCAGGAATCTGGGCGGGGTGGGGGGGTACTGGCTTCAGGCCGCCCTCCCAGGAACTCTGCTGGAGGCTGAGCGAGTCTCTCCTTTCCCAGAACTTTCTGCCAGAGTTTTTTAATTGCATCTCCTTAATCCTGATTGGCCACCTCTGGACCAATCCCTGTGGCCCCAGGGGAGGTAGTGCTTTGATTGGTGGGCTCTTGATGCATGCCTAGTCCTCTATATGGAAGTGGCTCCTCCGGAACCAAAGAAACTGGAGTTGTGTGTGGCGGGTGGCTTCTCAAAGACATTAGAGTAGGTAAGAACAGCGCTATCTTTCTATCATAAATCAATACTAATATGGTAGAAGGTGGAGACTCTCCTTGAGTCAGGATGAGGGAGGTTGAAACCCCACTCAGTGGCAACCCCAGGCTCTGTATCTCTGACACCCACTGTCGGTCTGCCCCCCATGCCAGTTCTCTGTGTTCCTTGGCCTCATCTTCTTCCTGGAGCTGGCAACAGGGATCCTGGCCTTCGTCTTCAAGGACTGGATTCGAGACCAGCTCAACCTCTTCATCAACAACAATGTCAAGGCCTATCGGGACGACATTGACCTCCAGAACCTCATTGACTTTGCTCAGGAATATGTAAGTCTGGCATCCAGCTCCAGCTACATACAGGAGGCATGTGCTAGGCAGATGAATGAAGAAGCAAGTTCCCTGTGTGCTGGGACTGTTCCCTTGCCTACCAGACCAGGCAAGCCCCAAGGAAGAGAACCAGGTGTCCCCCTGTCTGAAAGGAAGCCAGCCCTTGGTGATCTCCATGTGCCTAACCCTGCATGGACATGGAGCAGAGGCCAGAGGCTGCAAACTAGCAGCTCCTAGGACAGGCTTAGGACTCACTTAAAGGAGGAATTGTGGCATGAAAATACCGATTTCTTCTTCTACTAAGCTGGGCCCACAGTATCGGCCAGGGCTACATTGCCACTGCCCCTTTGCTGGTAGAGAGGCTCTCTGCCACCATCCCTGTCACTCTATTTTAGTATACCTGTTGGCCCTCTTCTCTCATTTATATTATTTGTTTGGCCTCTTAGTCAGGTTTGAGACCTGCCCCACCTCCCAGAAGCTCTGCCCTTAAGCTTGCAAACCCAGCCCCTGAGAAGAAGCAGTCAGTGAACAGTTCAAGAACTCTGAGACACCTTCCGCCTGCATGTTCTCACCCACTCACACACTTAGTCACACACACTCATAGTCGCACCCACTTAAACAGCCATGCTCTTTTGATGCCATCCACCCCAAGAACTGCTCTGGGATCCAGAGGTAAACCAGAGCTGGTGCCTGTTTTGAGGAGCTCTCAACCCAGGGCAGAAGTAAATGAAGAGCCAGGTGGTTAGGATGTGATTTATTTGTTCATTTAACGCAGAATTGTGATGGACCAACTATGTGCTGGGTCCTGAGCTAGGTGCTGGGGATTCAGGGGTGAAAAAGAGCTGCTGCTGCTGCTGCTAAGTCGCTTCAGTCGTGTTTGACTCTCTGCGACCCCATAGACGGCAGCCCACCAGGGTCCGCTGTCCCTGGGATTCTCCAGGCAAGAACACTGGAATGGGTTGCCATTTCCTTCTCCAATGCATGAAAGTGAAAAGTGAAAGTGAAGTCATTCAGTTATGTCTGACTCTTCCCGACCCCATGGACTACAGCCTACCAGGCTCCTCCGTCCATGGGATTATGCAGGCAAGAGTATTGGAGTGGGTTGCCATTGCCTCCTCCGGAAAAAGAGCTAGGACTTGTCTTTGTGCAGATGGTGATTTGGGGGAAGAGACAGATGATAAACAAGCAAAAGAAACAAACGTGTGTGTAGCATTATAAATTGTGGTAAAGGCTGAAATGGGGAAGTATGGAGAAGGAGAAGGCCTCTAGGGGCTAGCCTTGGGGGAGGAGAGCAGGGATGTGATGAGAGGAGCCAGTGTTCTCCAGCGGGAGCAGGGGTGCTGAGCAGAGAGGAGGCAGGCAGAGCTGCATGGCTGTGCCTCCCTATTCAGTCCACAGGGCCTACCTGTGTCTGCCACTGAGTTGGTCCCTCGAGGGCCAGCTGTTTGGCAGCCTGTGCTGTGTCAGTGAGTTAAGGCTGCCTGTCTCCCCACTAGATTGTGAGCTGCTTGCTTCATTGCAGCCCCACCTGAGGAAGCAGCCCATTGTCTTGGATAGGGGTCATGGGGATATAGGTGCCCACAGCAGCATCTATGAAGTGGGATGGGGGATGGTCATGAGAGTGGCAGGATTGCTCTCCTGTCCCTGGAGAGAGGAAAAGATAAGGTCTTTTGTAAAAATTGTGGGACAAGTGTAGGAAGACCAGGCCCAGATAGGGTCCTTCAGCCTCTCTGCAGGGTTTATTGAAACTCCCAACCCTCAAGGTGGCCTAGAGGAAGCCACAGTCCTTGGGCCACCGTCCTCGCCCACTCCCTTTTCTCAGCCTCTCTTGGGCTAGGGGGACAAGCTCAGGAGCCCCTTCCCACTAACCCCAGCCCCCATTAACCTGGTCAGGAGCCTCGAGCTGCTCTGATGGCCCTGGGCCCAGGCTCGACCTGTCGGTGGGGAGGTTCCCACCTGACTGGCTGTCTCCAGGCCACTGCCAGCCAGCCTGGGCCTGTCCCCAAACAGGATGGGGCTCCTGGGGCGGGCCTGGCTCACCCTGGCTCCCCTCCCACCCCCTAGTGGTCTTGCTGTGGAGCCCGAGGGCCCAACGACTGGAACCTCAATATCTACTTCAACTGCACTGACTTGAACCCCAGCCGGGAGCGCTGCGGAGTGCCCTTCTCCTGCTGCGTCCGGGACCCAGCGGTGAGTGCGCCTTGGCGAGGGGCGGGGCCCTGTGAGGAGGGGCGGGGCCTCAGCGCGCAGGCGCAGTCTGGAACGAGCCCACCACCCGCCTCGCCTCAGCCCTGCTCTGGGGGCCACCGATGTCGGGGAAGCCCTCTTATGTGTAGTAGTAGCCCTGCTGGGCTGGGGAGTTTGTGTCGGTGGGTGGCATTGAGGTCTGCTGGATGCGGGCTGCTTCTCTTGCCCCGCCATGCTGGGGTGGCAGCGGTGAAAAGTTCTGAAATTTTCATGGTTTTCTTTAAGAGCAGAAGCTTCTTGCAGTGACATCCCTCCAGTCCCAGGGCACAGGGACACTGAGGGCCAGGTTTCTTCCCATTCTTACAACACACGGGCAGTCAGGGCTCCTAAAAAGGAAGCCGTTCAAGCTGGGGTTGCGGCCGTGCGCCTTGGCGATGGGGAGAGGCGCTCGGGTCCTAGCCAGCTTCCCTTAAGGAGCGGCGGCCGCGGCGGAATCCATGGTTCTAGCCGCTTCGCCTGAGGCCTCATGGGTGCCCCTACCGAGTCGCTCCCTGGCGTGTTTCTCCTCAGGAAGATGTCCTCAACACTCAGTGTGGCTACGACGTCCGGCTCAAACTGGTGAGAGGGGTGGGGACAGGGCTGGGGGCATCCGGGGAAACTAGGATAAGGAGGGGGGCCCTCATATGTGCCAAAAGGCCTTAAGGATTCCGGGGGCAGGGGGAGGGAGTGCCGAGTCCCAGGAGGCACAGAGGCCTTGATACTGTGGAACAAGGCAGTGGGGTCCTGTAGAGAAGGAAAACAGGAAGTCAGGGATAAGGAAATATGAACAGCAGTGTGACAACTTCACCTAAGTACTAGGAAGAAGCGAAAAGGAGGGAGGTATGGGGTTGGGGCAGGGCAGTCAGGGAAGGCCTCTTAGAGGAGAAGCTGTCTGTGCTGAAACCCCCAAGGAGGAGAAGGCCCTTCGGTGGGGCTCCAGGTGGCAGGCGCTAAGGTATAAGGCCCTGGGTCATGCTGAGCTTGGCACATTGGACTGAGGCGGGGCCCCTGGTGGCTGTGGGTGGGCCGAGCCTAGCCTGGTGCCCGTTTGTCCCCAGGAGCTGGAGCAGCAGGGCTTCATTCACACCAAAGGCTGCGTGGGCCAGTTTGAAAAGTGGCTACAGGACAACCTGATTGTTGTGGCAGGGGTCTTCGTGGGCATCGCCCTTCTCCAGGTACCACCGTGGCCCTGCACAACCTCGCTCTGTCCCGGGCAGTCTGCCCTCCCAGTGGCCCCTCCCTCACCTGCCCTCTGTCTTCCAGATCTTTGGCATCTGCCTGGCCCAGAACCTCGTCAGCGACATCAAAGCAGTGAAGGCCAACTGGTGAGGCTGCCACGCTGGCCATGGCCACTCGCCTGGCCGACCCAGGGACCCTCCACTTGCCCATAATGGGCAAGGCTGCAGGAGGTGTTTCTGCTTGGAGCTGAACCCCACATGGGGCTCGCGGGCCACTGCACTGTGCACGCATGGAGAGCCGCATGGCTCTGCCTGGCTGCCTGTCCTGGAGCTGTGTGTACGGAGGGTGGGTGCACAAGGAGCCACCGTCTGGGCTGTGTTGGGTGGTTGGCTCTCCAGGGGACTAGGAAGGGCTCAGCTAGGAGGGGGCAGGCCAGGTGGGGTGGGCTTGGGGACTGCTGTTGTCTGTGACTCAGCCTCACATATCTCAGAGTTCTCTTCACTAGTGACCCTTCCAGGAGCCCACTTCAGCCTCAATGTCTCAGACTCTGAAATGGGTCCAAGAACCTTCTCTCCCTTGCTTGCCTCTCAGGATCAAATATGATGACGGCTACAAACTACTCAAATAAACAAATCCTTGAAAACCAGTGGCTTCCGCCCAGCGTCCTGAAGGTTCTGTCAGCTGCAGGGCCTCGGCAGAGCTCTCCACTTTGGGCCCTGGCCCAGACCCACTCCGCCAGTGCATTTTCTTGGTCTGGGTAGTATATACATTTGAGCCAACCTTTAAAACGTGGTGTACTTCATGTAAAAGTCCAGATCCCAAGCTTCTTGTGAAGATTGGCCATCCGGCCCCCGCGGCTCTTGGGACATCATCATCCCACGCGTGCTTCCTGTTCTCTGAGAGACCCACCTGGCCGGTGCTGCTCACCCTGTAGGCTGGGGTTGACCTCCCCTCTGCTGTAGGGTTTTCCCCTGAAAACACCTCGAGGCTGCCATGGGCCAAGCCTGGAGCCAGGCACAGGGATGTGAAAAATAGAGGCCACAGAACTTGGGTGGGGTCCAACCCCCCTGGAGACTGAGATGGGTGCCCAGGAGAATGGCTGAGGTGTGAAATGTAGATCAGGAAGGTTTGGGGAAGGAAATAATTAGAAGTCAAAAACTTGGCACCCATAGGGTTGGTGGGGAGCCTGCTTTGGGGCCGGTAGTGGTTGATGCTGGGTCTCACTTGGAATCCAGTGGTGGCCTGCAGAGCTGCCTCATGACCACCAGAGGGCGCTCCAGCACAGCTTTGCTTGGGTCTGGCGACTTCCACTGCCACCTCTGGTATAGCCAAGTGGCTGGTGTGTCCACCCTGCTTACCAGTGCTTCCGATTCAGGGAACTTGAGGTCTCTGAGAAGAGTTCAGACTTGGGAAGTCTGTCTGTTGCTCTCAGCTCTGCCTCTTAGCTGCATGAAGGGGTGTGTGAAGAGTAAGTGCTGCACCCATCCATCCAGGGGGTGCTCTTTGTGGATCAAAGGGATTTGGGGTAGTTCATAGATCTCCAGCTCAGATGCTCTTAAGGTCATGTAGGTCATATAAATGAATGAAGTAGGCCTTTGACTTGTGAGGCCTTTGTAGTGCAACTGACTTTCCTACTGTCCCTGAAGACCACACCGAGAGACATTGCTTTGTGACCAGAGAAATATTTGGGCCATTGAGTTGATGATGTACCTTGAGATACAACAGAGTATGGTGGGGACTGACAGCATAGATCCCCACCTGAACTTGGTGACTGTCATTTAGTTGTGGCTAATTGCTATAAAGTGGGAATGCAGCTCTAATGTCAGAAATCCAGAAAAGCCAGGAATTCAGGATTTTATGTGAAATAGACCTATTTTTAAGTTGTTAACTAATGAAGAAAATTTAAATGCTGCAAGCCCAACGAAAGGTGTACAGCTTTGGCCCCTGTGACACTGCAGATCCCTCTGGGACAGTCATCCTCTGGAGTCCTGGCTGCTCTGCCATCCAGGGATGCTGAGAGCTGCTGCTGGGAGGGCAGGGTGTCGGGTATGCACCCAGCATCATGGCTCCCAGATGCCAGCTAGACAGTGTCCAGGTCCCTGACAGGTGCCAGTGTACCGCAATAAATGCAACTCACAGTATTGTGCGTGTCTTGCTTTTTTTTTTTTTTTAATTTCAAAAGCTTTCAGTTTTCATTTTCCCTTTAAACCTCAACAGCACCCCTTGTGAGGTGGAGATTCTTCTCCTGATGAAGGAACTGGGGCTGGGTGGGGGGAGTTGCCCAGCACACAGCTGGAGGAGGCACCCAGCTCTGAGCCCTCTCACTGGAGGCCTGCATCAGACCTGTCCTGCCTTTCTGATGCACACGAGTGGCACCTGCACTCGTAGGAGCAGCAAGGTATCTTTTCCCAAGCTTGAGTTGAGCTTCCATGCAGGTGCTGGGGATGCAGAGGAGAAAGAAGGGCAAAGTCCTAGCCCTTGGGCTCCATTCTTGTGGGGGAGACACAAATAAGTATGCATTTTTGTTAGTAATGCAAGCTGTGAAGAAAATAGAGTGATGGTCAGACAGGAGTAGCTAGAGTGCCTGGGAGAAGGGACCTTCTGATAAGGTGGTGGAAGGGGTCCCATCTCTGGGAAGCCCCAGGGGAACAGTTGCCCTAGGGGCCCTGAAGCTGGTGGGTTTGGCATAAGGGAGCTTGGTGTGCTGGAGAGGTGAGTGTGGGTGAAGGTCAGGGGGAAGTGGTAGAACCAGGATATATTTGGAAATAGGACCAATGAGATGCATAGGAATGACTAGAAGGGGTGGGTGTGACCTTGGCTGGGGACCCAGAGTTCCCTGAATCTCAGTTCTGCCACAGGACATCCATTCACTCAGGCTGAAGGCCGGGGTCACTGGAGCATCTTGCCCTTGCCCTCCTGGAGCCCATGGTCTCTTGGCACGGACATGGAACAGTTGCTAGTGGTGTAACATGTATGTGGTAAAGAGCACGTGAGGATCACTCCACGTGGCATTTCAGGCTGGAGAGACACAAATTTCCTGTCCCCAAAGTAGAACTTGGAACAGTTCTTTTCCTTGTACTAAGGAGCCGTTACCCAGATGGGACATCTCTTGGTGTGTAGAAAACACAAGGAAGCTTTATAATCACCCCACTTTCCATCACTCTGGATGGGTCCCTGGGGACATGACCCAGGTCACCCTCTCACCGTCTATCAGGACACATGTGGTGACAGGGTTGGGCGTTGACTGGCGACCTAGGAGTCCCTCGGGGGCCCTTGCCTGGTCTAACCAGAGGAGAGGCTGCCAGCAGCTCACCCAGCAACTCAGCAGGAGGACGTCCTGTGACATCAGCTACCTCGTCTGTGGAGGAAGGGGGAGTACTGGAAGGGACAGATAGAGCCCGGAACAATGAGACCTTGAATCTGGACAAGGAGGTCAGATGGGAACAGTCAGCGAACAGGCCTTCCAGAGGGCGGCCGGGGCTTGCTTTGGACGGATACACTCCCGGCTGCCACCAGAGGGCGCCAAAGTGCAACCCACGCAGGCAGCCGTGTCTGCTGCGGGTCACTGGAGGGAGGTCCGCGTGGCTAAACAAAGCCAAGCCCCGTTCCAGACACCCGGCAGCCCACCCTGTAGGTGCCAAATCCGGACTTTGCCATCCTCTGTCCTTTCTTCTCCGAGGACTTAGGGCCAGCGACACCTCCTTCTCCACAGATGCCTCTCGTAGTGCAGTGGTCACTTAGGGAGACCTTAGCCCACCTTCCGGTCTCCACAGGCTGTGATGTCCGCTAGGCAGGTCTGGGAAGAGGGTCACTTTCTCCAGGACGTCGAAGTGACATGCTCCAATACATACACCTCAATTATTCATTCAGATTTACTGAGCACCTACTGTGTGCCAGACGCTGTGGTGGGTGCACCTTGGGATCAACAGCGTTTGTCTGCAAAGGGCCACATGGTAAATATTTTAGGTTTTCAGGTCATACAACCGCTCAACTCTGCCTTTAGAGCAGAAAGCAGCTCTTGCCAAGACAAACAAATGAGGGTGGCCATGTTCAAATAACATTTTTTGGACACTGAAATTTGAATTTCATATAATTTTCATATGTCACAAAATACTATCCCTCTTTTTATTTTCAACAATTAAAAAACATAAAACCATTCTTTTATATATAGCTCTGGAGCTATGTAAAAACAGGCAGTGGACTGGATTGGCCACACACACAGGCTGGTGTGTCCCCGCCCCCAAGAAGAGCCTGCCCCGGAAGGGAGACCCCACCCAGGAAGAGAGAAGACCACGGATCATGAGCCTGGTGGTGAGTCCCTCACCCAGGAGAGGATGTGAGTGTTGTTGGAAATATGAGTGAGCAAGGGGCGCTGAGAGTGTGGGGAGGGTCAGGACTCGGCAATAAATGGGATGGTCAGAGGGAGCCTCAATGAGACAGGAAGTTGGAGCAATGACTTTTTATATTACTTTTAAATCATTTTGATAGGACAGGTAAATTAGGAATCCATTCTACTTAAAACTCATTAGAACAGGTAAATTAGGAGCCCATTCTACTTAAAACTCATTAGAGAAGACCCTGATGCTGGGAAAGATTGAAGGCAGGAGGAGAAGGGGACAACAGAGAATGAGATGGTTGGATGGCATCACTGACTCAACGGACATGAGTTTGAGCAAACTCCGGGAGATGGTGAAGCAAAGGGAAGCCTGGCGTGCTGCAGTCCCTGGGGTCGCAAAGAGTCGGACACGACTGAGTGACTGAACAACTACTTAAAATGTGGATAACACTAAGGTCTTCTTAGTGCCCTATTCTGTTCCCCCCTCCTTTTCCAGTGACACTGAAGCTGTGAGCTCTAGATTTCTCTCTGGATCACTTGCATTTTAAAAATTTTGTCCTCATGTTATGTATTTGTAGAAAATGTTCAGCATGGTTGTGAGTGTGTGTAAGTGGCAGGATACTGTCCCCATCTTGCTGGGCTACCCCCACCCCACCCCCACCCCCACCCCCGCCGTTATGTGTTTTGAACACAGAGTCACGTTTTATGCATGTAAAGCTGCAATCTTTCTCAACTGCAGGGACGTCCCCTGCAGGAATAAGTCATGTTTTACCTCTCCCTCCCTTTCCTTGACTGTCCACGGATAGTGGATAGTGGACAGTCAAGCTGTTCCTGCTCTGGGGCGCTTTGCACCTCGAGGCTCTGGCAGCCAGGCCCTCTCTCCTGAGTTTCCAGCTGGAGCAGCTGCCATTCGCTAAACAGGAGGATGAGGGCAGCAGCAGAGGGTGGCCCTAGGTCAGGTCTGATTGCAGAAGTGGCCCCAGCAGGTCCCTTCCTGTGCCCAGGGGCCTCATTTCTGCCCCTTGGCCCAGGCACTGATCAGGCAGGCTGCATTACCACAGATCTTGGGCCTGGAACTCGGCCCATCAGAGGTGTGAAAGCCACATAGCTAGCCCCTTGGTGCTGTGAAGACTGTTGCCACGGTAATGCCTTCCTGGTCCCCTGTGCAGCCACGTAGACAGATGGGAATATCAGCCTCCTGCAAACAAAGGGGCCTGCTCTGTGGCCCAAGAGAGAGCCGAGTCCTTGATGGAGGCTGCTACTTTAGGCTCCTGGAGGCCTGGCCACTTGGA